AGAAATGGGAAGAAAATATAAAATGAAGGAACACATTTATATTTGGAAGTGTTGTTAGATCCTCAAATTTGACTGTAACTGAATTGAGTATTTTTATTAGTTTAAAATCCAGTGCATTGAAGTTCATCTGTCTTGATAGATAATTGATTATTTCACTGCGGGAGCCAGAGCTTTTCACCGCAACTCTCTCTTCCTCAGTGGATTAGAGTGCCGATTACAGCAGCAACAGTAGCAACACTAAAGCTGTGCAGAACATAGCTTACTCTTCCTTTGAAGACTTAGAAATTATTTAAGACCACATGGGGTATATATTGGCAGGAAGAGACCACAGTTACCACCCCCTATTCGCATTACAAGTTCGGATTTAAGGTTCCTAATTTACTTAGTAGCATTTTTTTGGAAAGGTAAGAGAAGCAGCGTGGCCACACGGAGTAGCCAGGTTGCATGTGTATCCACACGATTTCCCAGAACCCTCAGTGCCAGGTGTGCCATGTCGGGGCGCAGGGTTCTGATGACACTCTCCTCTGGTCTTCATTTTGTGTCATACTGCAGCTCTGACTTAAGTGAGTCTTAGGTCATTATTTAGGAAAAATAAATATGAATGGTCTTTACCCTAACAGGAAGAGAGAGCCATGTTTCCTCCTTCCTGAGCCAGACTTAGCACACCGAAGACGGCGTCAGCACCAGCAGGTGACCTGGAAAGTCCGGTTCTGAACAGGCTGCCCTCTGACTGCTGTGATTTTATTGTGTATGAGAGTTCGGTTGGAGGATAGTGATTATAAAGCTGTTTCCATGCAGTTATCACTGAACTGTGAGCATATTTCCTGGCTAATATGTAGTTAATTGCAATCAGTAATTCCAGGTATGATACTGCTAATTGTGTGAAAGAAATAAGCTTATCCCTTCCTCTGCTAGTAGGGAGCCCAGTTCGAGGTGGCAAACTATCATGCAGTTTCTAAAATGTTCTCTCTCCATCTGTGCTGACAGTCGTCACTCCTTTCCATCCTTTCTTCATAGTCATTCTTGGTGATGTCCCGAAGCTGGCCACAGGGAGTCCACTCAGCTTGGTCCCTGCGGCCCAGCTCCTTACGGGTGTGGGTGTCTCCCCTGCTTCGTCACAGCAGACACCCCAGTCTCACCTCCTGCTTCCCCTGCGGTTAACTCGCAAACAGGCGTTTCTCCAAGGACTGCTGGTTCATTTTATTAGGCAATGATATTTAAAAACCCAGATCTGAGACCAAAGGTGTTCATTGCAACTGGAATGTCACTGTTTCTAAGCCTTTTCAGTGGCCAGCACTTAGGGGAACTTTGAGTTCATGTTCGTATTTCCAACTCACAGTTAACATTAGAAGGTTTTTTTTTTTTTCTTAAATGCTTTGATTTTATCATTGTATCCCCTTTCTCTCACACTAAAAGTCTTGGTTCCTAATAACAATATATTTATTTGTTTTGTCCAACAATATGTATAAAATTGTTTCAGAATTACACTGCTGATACTGTTACCAGTAGTGAAACAGCTGAATGAAGCCACGTACAGCTTGGTGCCTGGGCAGTTGTTTTGTCGCTGGAATATATCCCAGTAAACGCAGTTTACTCTCAGTTTACTGTTTTTAAGTCATTTAAAGTATTTTCTCTATATATTATTAGATACATTGCTTAGGTTATTTTTAATATTAGGATTTGCTTTTTTTAATGTTCTAAATCAGTTTATATTTGAACACATAGACAGAACATTAACATAATTCAGAAGTCAAACTCTATAAAAAGATATATTCAGAGCAATCTTACTTCCTATTCCCACCCATTTTTACCCATTTATATTAATTATCTGCTTTATCCTTCCCGTGTTTCTTTTTGCCGAGATGAGCTCTCCTGTACACACATTGATGTGTCTGTGTGAACGTATGTGTGTGTTGTATTTACTCCCCGTCCTTTCTTATGCTGAGTGTACTTTTCTCTGCCTTGCTTTCTGACTTGATACATCCTGAGCACACTTCATATTATTAGGTAGAGAGCCTCCTTAAACCACGGAAGGCCAGACAGGACTCCTCTGTGCAGACGTATCATACTTGATTCAATCAGTCCCTATTAATGCATGTTTAGGTTTCTAATACATTATTGGGTTATTTTTAAAGAACCCTTCTAAAATGTGTAAACTCTTCAGTGTATTTTTATTGCATAAAACCCAAACTCTGTACTGTGGCCTCTCATGCTGGCCTTTGCCTGCCTCTCCAGCCCCGTCGTCCACACCGTCCCCCTGCTCGCTGCATTAGCATCTCCCAGCTTGTGTGTGGCTTCCTCAGACCTTCCCTGACCACCTCATCAAGGAGGTTTCTTTTTCTCATCACTGTTCTGTGACTCTGTTGTTTCCTGACTGGCAGTTGAGAGCAACCTGAAATTGCCTTGCTGTCTTAATTTAGGCTGTATTGTATAGAGTGGCCAAGAGCTTGGGTTTTGAGCCAGACCACCTGATTTTTGATCCTGGTTACGTGAGCTTAGACTTGTTACTTAGCACTCTGTGCCTGAGTTGCTTCATCTACAAATAGGGATAATGATACTATTCTCCTTATAGGATTTTCTGAGAAATGAGTGGTTAATACATACAAACGTGTATGCAGAGTGAAGTTAGTGCTGGCTCCATCAGTGTTGTGATTTAACTGTGCTGTGTCGTCCTCCCTTCAGTAAGCTCCATGACAGCAGGGAACTGGTCTCTCTTGTCCCCACTGTCGCCTCAGGACTTAGAACGGCCCCTAAGATACAGGAGGCACTTACACGTTTGTTGCTGAGTGAACAATAGTTAAAATTCAATTCCCATTCTTTTGAAAAGTTCCTGGAAATCTGAGACTAAAAGAAGGCTTTCTTATATACATTGTATGCAGTTGCCAAATTCAACAGACATTTCCATCAAATTCAGCATCAAAAGATGAATGCCTGCTTTTTAACATATATCTTGGAGGTTCTGGCCAGTTATTAAAATCTGAAAAAGAAACCAGAAATTATTCCTGTCAGAGGAAGGATGCAGTTACCATATATGCTTTGACACAATTATATATCCATGAAATACAAAAGTAGAATCCTCCTAATTGTTGAGAGTTTAGAAAATGATCAGATTTGAGCCATACATAAAGAATACATTTTCTAGCATATCAGTAATTAGCAGTTAAGGCCATAATTGAAAAAAAAGCGGTATTCTACAAAAGCAGCTCCCCCCATACCTAGCAATATCCCTAACAAGAAATGTGCGAAATATGTCTTTTCGTAAAGAAAATTAGAAAACTACACTGTGAGATACAAAAGCTTTAGAAAAATGACTTGCCCTGTTTCTAGGTAGAAATGTTGAATAGTGTAGAAATTAAAGTTCTTCCAAATATATAATGTTATAACTCATTTGTTTTTGCTTCTAAATCTCATTAAAATTATTTTAAAGTTTGTTAGAAAATGTTCAAAAATGAATGGAAATGGTTTGATGGCCACCCTTAAACAACAAAGATTCATTAACACACGATCTGCCGGCAACTAGGGGGGAGTAAAACTCATACGAGTTCGATCACTTTTACACACTGGCATGATAAGTGCAAGTACTTCTGAAGCTACCCCAGTGTGCTGTAAGTGTCTCACTAGCAGATGAGAGAGCACATTTAATTTTACAGCGAGGATGTCATGTATGAGCAAGGTTATAATTTACCCAGAGTGTCAGAGCATGTCAGAGATAGCATCAAAATTATACTGATGACTCTGAGTGAATTGTAAGTAATTGGTACAGAAAAAATATAATTCCTCTTTAATCTGTGTGCAGTCTGGGATGACTGCCTTGTCCCAGTCGGTTCAGGACTTTCCTGGTTTTAGCACTGAAGGTCTCAAGTCCCAGGAAACCTCTCAGTTATGAGCAAAGTGGTTACAATCGATCACCTTCATACAGCTCAGAGAAAACACGCTGAAGTCTATAAATAGTGTTTCCCATAAAATGAAAAGAAGTGGATGGTAAGTATTTAATCTGGTTGGAGTAACCCATCCAGTGGTGTGTCTGGGCCGCAAGTTGCTCTGGTACACAGAATTCACCAGAAGGCTCGTCAGCTCAAGGGGTTTATGACTTGGGAAACTGTAGTGGGGTTCAGTAAGATCCCCGTAATCATCTGCAAACTGAGCAGGGGGATTGAGGCCACGTGGCTTAGTCCTCTATCCTGCAGCTGATCTCTGAGCTTATAGTCATTTGTTGTCTGTTGACTCCCAGAGTAATTCTCCCTGTAAGCTGCACTTCTCGGCAAGTCTTTTTCTAAGGATTTGTTTGCTTTCAGATCTTTCGCTGTTGCCTTTATAACATATCAGTCAGTGGAAATGCCTTACCATGTATTAATCTCCTTGTCTCTTGCCTTGATGGGTGTTAATAGAAGACCAAATGCTTTTTTACGCGTTGTGTTTTGTGTTTCTATAGCCGTTAGTTTGGCAAGTGTGTTGATTAATGGGCTCGTCCTCCTTATAAAATGAGAACGAGGGAGTTGGTTCTTTTTTCAGTTTTACTTTCCAGATTATAAATGCTGTGAAAATTCCTAACCACTAAATAACGTATCTTAGAAACTAACTAGAAATGCAGTTTTAAATTTACACCATTTTAAGTCTTGCTTATTATGAAGCTCTCCAAGGGAATGTATTAGAATAAAACTCAGGTGCCAGTCCCAGTCCTGGAGCGCGCTTAGGTGGCAGTGGGCAGGTGGCTGGTTACCAAGCTTGATGTGAAAGTCTGCAGTTACAGGCTTCAGTTTGCCTGTAGTCCCATCAGGTGAGGTAACAGGCCGGTGAGAAGAACATGCAAAACCATGTTGTTATTTATAAAGCGGCCGTTTCTTCAGCTTCTGCTGGAAATTTCCTGTAGAATGCGAAGTGTACCGCTAATAGGTTCTTTTTGAGTCAGCCTGTTGAGATCTGCATTTCTGCTCTCACTAAGTAAAAAAAGTGACCTCCTGCTACAACTAAGGTGTCTTCTCTTCTTTATCGTTCTTTAGTATCTAAAAAGCACGGCAAGCTCATTACTTTCTTACGCACATTCATGAAGTCTCGTCCAACAAAACAGAAGTTGAAGCAGCGTGGGATCTTGAAAGAAAGGGTGTTTGGTTGTGACCTGGGAGAACACCTTCTGAATTCTGGTTTTGAAGGTAAAAATAAAATTTATAATCCCTTAATTTCAGCTTCTGACGTCTCCTTATTGATTTTCTATAATCAGTTTTGAAGGAGCTTAGGCGAGCAGTGGCTGTCACGTTTATGTTCAGCAGCGTGTGTTGGACTTTCTCAGGCACGCACCTGAGTTCTGGGGACAGCTGATAATCAGGAAGGGTCTGTGTATCAGAGATGCTCGTGGGCTGCTCAGGAAGAGGAAGGCATTCACACGGAGGCACAGTAGCTCTGCTGGTTCGCATTATTTTTACATCTGTCCAGTAGCTTCCTCCTCCAGTTTTCCCTCTCACATTTTATCCTAAAATATTTGTTTCTCTCTTGGAAAAAAGGTCAGAGTTTGAGACTGTATATATATTACCAAGACCAGTCTCCCAATTTTAGTAGCTAAAAATTTAAATTCCTTTCTCTATAAATTAAATTCTTACTCGAGAATCCAGTGGTTGGATGAATGGATAGGAAGAAAGGAAAAATGGGGTTTTTCTTTGATTTTTTTTAAAAGCACTTTACCATCTCCTTTAGAGATGCTAGAATATGAAGGAGGTGTCTACCTATAATGTTGATAAAAACTACAAATAGGTGATTTGTGAAACTCTGAATCCTGATATGAAACACCCATTACACTTCTTACAAAGAGTGAGAGCTGGTGTGACTGCCAATAGATGTCAAGTTCAAATTAAGGCCTTACTCACTGCCTAAGGAATACCAATATACTTATAATACGAATTTAACGCAAACTAGGTCACGTTTCTTGAGGGAAAAGACACAATATTATTTTAAACAGATGTTATTCCCAAACTGATATCAGGTTAATGCTATTAGGAACAGAACGAAAAACAAATAGACCAACAAAACCCCTGAGGATTATTTTTGCAACCAGTCAAAATGCACGTGGAAAATAAGCCAAGGAGACTATCAGAGAGCCTTTTGGGGGGAAATCAGTGACGGGATGGGAGACATCTAGCCTTACTGATGTTAACATAATATGTAAAACTGTATATGTGTTAGTGCAGAGAATGAGATGTGGCTGATGAATGAAATAGCTTGGAATGTTCAGAAGTAGTCATTACTCTGGATACAGATCCAATCTGATAAAGCATGGTTTTAAAGCCAGGTCATGAGGAGGGGTTAATTATAAGTACACACAGAGGTAATGAAATAACAATTTTGAAAAACTTAATTCCTGCTTTATGACACTGAAAATTCCAAATGTATGAAAGAGTTAACTATTTTAAACTGATAGGAATACTAATGTGAAATGATTTTGTTTTGAGATCAAAAAGGAATAATAGCTTTTTCAGATTAAAAAAATACATTAAGAAGGAAGTGATGGCCTCAAATATACAATTTCCGTATAATGAAAATAACAAATGTAAAGAAAAGTTACCTAACACACACTGGGAAAGCAATCTTTTCTTGGGTACGATGAAATGCTCCTAATATGGTATATAAAAATACTCAGATTTGTGAGAAAATGAAGCCCCTGAGGAGAAGAATGGAGAAAAGTTGCAAACATACAATTTTGACAAGGAGGTAGATAGTAAACAAAATACAGAAAAATGTCTGTGCTTATTTGCAATTGTGGAAATGTATCTTTAAGCAATTTTGAGATGCCGTTTTATATAGGTGGAAGTTATTAATATAGCAAAGCTATTTTTCTAAATTATGACATCCAGTGACATTAAAAAACAACAGTGATTTTTTACCAGCAAGTGAAAATGGATGGTTTCAGGTAGTCTGAGAATTACTACCTTTTTGAAAATCATCCTGGGACTTCAGGGCAAGAGTCTTTACAGTGTTTCCTTCAGTTCTCCCCTCAGGGCTTGTCCTAAGGCTGTATTCCAGTGGAGACAAAAATGCTCATTATGGCGTTATGTATGAGAGCAGAAATCGGAATGCTCGGCTTTTAGGGAAATTGCTGAATAATTTATGAAGCTATTAAACTTGTAAACTTGAACATAGTTTTAAATTTCAGATTTGACATTTCAGAGGTGCCACGCGGGCGTGTTCATTTTACTGTGCTTCACTTTATTGGGCTCCGCAGGGACCGCGTTTTTTGTGCATTGAAGGTTGTGTGGCAGCCAGGTGTGGAGTAAGTCTGTCGGCGCTGTTTTTCCAGCAATGTTTGCTCACTTCATGTCTCTGTGTCACATTTTGGTAATTCTCACGATGTTTCAGACTCACCCCCAGCAAAAAGATTACAGCTTGCTGAAGACTCAGATGATGATTAGCTTTTTTTGGCAATGAAATGTGTTTTAATTGAATGTATGTACATTGTTTTTTACACATAACGCTATTACACACCCAGCAGACGACAGTACAGTGTGAACGTGACTTTTGTATACACTGGGAAGCCGGAAACCGGTGTGACGTGCTCTGTGGTGGTGTCCGCTCTGCTGGGGTGGTCTGGAACTGAACCTGCAGTGTTTCTGAGCTCTTCCTGTATGGAAAGAGTAGATAACACATTTTTTGTGGATCGATCAGACTCATTTGTCATTCGTATGGGCAGCCTTAATTATAGAGTCAAAATGTTTTTTGTTATCCTAGTTTCTTTTTTCTTTTTGTGTCTTTTTTGTTAAACCTTCCTTGAACATGATCATTATTATGAGGGAGTGTTTTCCAGTTGGTTGTTAGCTTTCAACATCAATTCAGCAAGGTTTAGCTGTGCTTAGAAGTTTTGGATGTATTTCCATCCTTAGTAAGTATGATAGAGAGGACAGGTGCCAATATATAATTTCTTTCTGAAAAATACCAGGTTTAGTAATTGTAGTGTTCACGCATTCCCTGTGATAGAATGTGTTCTCGCGGAACAAAGGGTTTCCAGGTGTCTGACTTTTTAATAGGACTTTAAAAATTTGCTACACATGTTTGAAACCAAACATTCTTAAAATGAGATCGCTTTTGTAAAAAATGAGGACTTTGTAGAAAACTAGGTAAAATTACATTTGGTATAAAATATTAAAAAAACATGTTTTAAAACTCAAGGTGAGGACACTCTGTTTTCCTGAACTTATTTCTGTTTGAGGTTATTTGTCCCTTTCAGCGAGAGGCTTTTCTTTTAACTATTGTAAATATACAGGGATTTTATCATCAGAGCACACTGGGAAAAAACAAGGCCCAAATAACCTAAAATCAATGCTTTAGGTAATCTATTTTTCTAACCAAAAATCATGATACGCATCCTACTGTGTAACACTGTACCGTTGTGCCCCTGGCCTGTAAGCCTTCACCTTGAGAGCAGAACTTGCCTTTTCAGCTGTCTTACAGAGTGCTTGCATGATGACCGGCATGTAGAAGGGGTCTAACACGTGACGGACGGGGGAGGGAGGGGAATGAATGACTGAACAAATGAAGAGGAAAGAACAGAAATGAAACCAAAACTGTCAGGGAAAGGCAGGGACCGATTCTTGTCTTGCTTACCTATCTCATTCTTTTTAGGCATGATTCAGATGTTTAATTTAGTCCTTTACTTGCTGTTAACACTGTCATATGATGATAAGAAATAACTGAAAGTGCTAAGTAAGAGTGGATTAGAAGTGTATTATTTGGAGAGTGTGGGAATAATTCTTAAAGTCACATCACCTTTTGGAAGAACCACTTTAGAGGTTTCTATTGTTAAGTTTTAACTGGGTTATTATTTAATGTGCACTTGGCTGGTTGGTTAAATGGGTTGGGGAGAAGTTAGCTAATAGTCCTTTAAAACTAGGATTTCTTCTAGTAATACATTGGGTTCTTGCATTACTTTCTTATGTCAGTGAAAAAAGAATTCAGATCTTTTCTCTTTTCATCTTCCTGTCCTGTTCTTCAGTTCCTCTCTTTTTTTCAGAATGAAAATGTGTGCTCTTCTCCTTCATTTTGCTACCTGTTTTAATTAGACGTCATTTGTTTTAAAATTCTAAGTAATAGCAATGCTCCGTTGTGTAGTTTTGTTTATGAAGTCCCGTTATGTGATCATTTTTTGGACATTCAGTTCTTTTACATAGGGAACATAAAACGTGAAGAAACAATTCACGTGTTTTCCATGGAAGCTTGATGTCTGTAGAGGCTTAGCCGTATTATCAGGGAAAGACCTCTGATTCCCCATATTTTCAGAGTTTGTCTACTTGTTTGGGAAAAAATAAGCAAGTATGAATATAACATCACGTGGTTGTAAGAATCCCGAGAAAATTATCTATACTTTTTTTAACAGATGGTAGCTTATTTTCATGAAAAATCTGTAGTGGAAGCTAGGAGAGCCTGAAAATACAGAAGTTAAAAGCCTATTCCTGTCACTTATTTACCGCTTGTCCTTGGGTAAAGCTTCATCCAAGACTCAGTTTCTGCTCTGTAAAATGGGGGTAATGATAGAGCTTTTCCCATAGGATTTCTGTGAGAATCAGATGAGAGAATTTATTATAAAGCGTTTAGCCTGACACCCATTACAAGCTCAGTAGTACACCTGCTTTTTTAAAAAAATTCATTCAGAGCTAAGGAGTTTGAGTTTTAAATGGATCTGAGAGTTTTACAGTTTCACGGGATCTGACAGAATTTAAAGGACAGAATGCAGGAAGTACAGCAAAGGCGGGAAAACCAAGGAAAAGTCTTTTGTAATAAGAAAGGGGTAACATATACCATAGGTGAAATACATGAGCTCAAACTGTCTTATTAAAATATCTTGTTTCATTTGCCGCTCTGAATGTGTGACCCCTAATACAGTAGTTTTTTGCAGACCAAATGTTTGTCTAAGCCATTCTTTCATGGATTTTAACTTAAAACTGTGGAATGAACATAGTTACTAAAAGCCTACAAATTTATCAATCTGCATTGCAAAACAAATGAAGTTCAAATTTCAGTCATTGTAAATTTTTTTTTTAATGGAGGTACTGGGGTTTGAACCCAGGACCTCATGCATGCTAAGCATACACTCTACCGCTGAGCTCCACCCTCCCCCTGTTATTGTAAATTTTTGAATGGTTATAAAAATGTTCTATCATAAACTTCCAACGTTCTGTTCTGGACAGTAGACCCAGCATAGCTG